CCCAAGCTCTTACCTTCGCACGCCCCAAGCTGCGGAAAGACCCTGGTGCCGGCTGGTCACGTGGCTCCCAGGATATTAAATTACCAAGGGAGGGATGGACAAATCTAAATTACAATGCTTCCACTTTGCAATAGTAAAATTCGTTGGCAAGGAGCGGACGTATTGGTTTGAATTGCAAAAAGTGTAATTTGAGAGCACTTTATATCGCAATTTGTCATTGTATAATTTGTATTGAATACTTCAAGGAAAACTTCTTGTCAAATTGACAATTATGCGCGCGTTTGTGTTCTTTTTGTCATTCACATGCTGCCAGGCCATAGAAGCAAAGTTGATAATTTCAACGGAAACTCGAACGAAGATGCTCGAGTTTCATTGCATTTCTTGCTTGTTTGGAATTCGTTGTTCTAAATAGCGCATTTCATAACAACATACTGTACTGAAGCCGAACCAACTAAGCAAGTTCTTTGTTTGGAAAGTATTTATTTATTTATTCAATTTCGCCAGGTTAAATTACACGATTGATAACATTGTGTTCAAACTTCGACAAGAGTTGCAATTTAAACATACAGATCTCCGTGTTCTTGGGTCCTGCATCAAAACAACTGTGCAGGGATCAAAACAACTGTGCAGGGCTTTCAAATAATACTGTCGTAAAGCACACGAGCAAATTTTATTTTGACAAATCTTATTTGATCAAATTAAATGCATTTGTCACAATAAATTTGTCACAAATTTATCATCTACACGAGCAAAATATCTTTGACATTCAATTTGCCCGTGTAAACGGGCCTTAACAAACTCTTAAATGTACTTAAACATATATTATTTATTCGACAAAAGATGTTATTTATAATTTGTATCCTGCCAACGCTTTATATGGAAAGTCTCTGATTTTCATCTGACCCATTGTTGATGTTTGCAAGGGATCATATTTAATAAACAAGTCGATTTTCTTTCTCCATGGAAATCATTTGAGATATCTACTCAGGACGGTTCGTGTATTGTTATAGTTGTGTTTCCCTTGAATTCACTGATAGAAGATCAAATATCTCGACTGAAATCAAGTGGCCTTCGCGCGTCTGCCATTCTATAAATATTCGCAAAAAATATTCCATGGAGAAATCACAATTGGATTGTACATTTTGGGTTTAAATGGGGATTACTAACATACGTATACGGATGACTATATTATTAATTGCGGTAAAGTATATTGGTAGATGATATTCATAAACAACTGACTTACTTCTGTTGACACGGGTAAAGGTGTAGCAGATCTAGTTTCATGAACACATTGACAAAGTCAGTGTAAAAGCCAAACTGCGCCTTCGACTTTCAACTGCAGCAACATTTGTCGAAGATCTGGCAACGGATAGAAAAACTTCAGGGCATCGCTTGGATCGTGAATCTTTTACTAATGATTTCTGTATTTCGGAAATTACATTCTTGAACGTCGTTCACAAGGACGGCACTCGATCGGCAGATCAAATAAGGAAAATCATCAACATGCGGCAGTCTCTCGCCATGAATCAACTCCGTGTTATTCAAAATTCTTTAATTTGTTTTGTTGAAGAGATTCTTACAATGTATCTGATCTTGTACACCATTATATAATCGACAACGAGAACTATTTTCAGTTGATCCAGGAGATCTTTTTGTTAAATTTCTTTGGCGTGCTTTTGCTAAGCCGATATAGTGACAGTGAAATGTGAGATATTTGTAATCCTTGAGAGTAATATGATACTCTTTCGGCTGCAACACATGATTAATCTGTTGTTTTAACATTTCGTCAAGAAAAAATCTTTTATTATTGTCTCGTACAGTTAGAATTTTACTATTTTACAAATTCAGAAACAATTTCAATACGTACAAATCATTTCTACCACCCCTCCCTGAATAGCAATTTATTTTAGCACCCAAAATCTGGGAGCCACGTGACCAGCCGGCACCAGGGTCTTTCCGCAGCTTGGGGCGTGCGAAGGTAAGAGCCTGGGTACGAGGTTGACTCTATTGCAGCATAATACAGTCTGTACACAGGCCAATAAAAGATACTTCGCCAAATATCTTAGCCTCTTTCTTTATTGAGATATTTAACACTGCTTGACATGCAAATTATGCTGGCTATGACGTCAAAATCCACAATGAGTCTCCATAATGAGTCTCTTATTTATAACTGATATAGATAACTGATTCAAATTTGTCGACATATAATACATATTTGTAGTATGTTAGCATAAGACATGTCATGTGAATTGCTGGCAGTGCGTGATTTCGATGCATGATATCCCAAGATCTTAATAAAGTCATTTCGCAATGTGGCGAAGCTAAGTTTGGCAAAGTATCATATTTGGTCAATTTGAATTTTCTTCAGTTAAAATGACAATAAAAAGTGGTGTGAAATTTCGTTGCTTATGCATTTTAATGAGCATTACCATTTTAGAAATATACACGAAAGTCTATTGTTGTAGTTGCATTTACTGTACATTTATACCTTACCGTAGGAGGGTACCGTATATCCTCGGTTAAGCCCCACTGCTTATGTATTTCAGACGTCCTCGAGAAGCCGCTTAAACGAGGGGGGGGGGGTAATAGAGAGGGTGCCTCATTTAATTTTACCGTGTTATTTTTTTGAGACGAGAAGGGGGCTTATTACAGACGGGGGCTAAACAAGAGGATCTTCATAATTTGTATAAGTACAAAAGATGCTCTACATAATATATATGTAGCGAATTTTGTAACGAAAGATTGAAATATTCAGGAATTAGATCGATATCCAGCCATTCATAATAATTTGTGGGTCTTGTCGTTCTGGGGTCGTTGGTCTTCATGTGCTAACTTTTATAATTTTGTAGATATTTCACCAGAACGTTTGCAAGACATAGAGATCCTACTTGCGGATCCTACACTTATCTCTAAATGGCTTTCTCATTTACCTAAGCTGAAGTGGATGCAGTCTACGTTCGCAGGTGTCAATGCTGTATTTGAACAGTTACCTCAAGATAAGCCATCTCCGTCCTTTGTCCTCACGAGACTTGCAGGTGTATTTGGACCAATCATTGCTGAATATGTTGTTGGTCATATTATTGCACGGGAGAGGAAGTTCGCACTTTGTAGGAAATATCAACAGTCCAAAGAATGGTAAGTCCAAGGACCAGGGGCGGTAGGATGAGGTGCAGAACGGCGAGAACAACATATCTGGGCAGCGTATTTTACACCATGTTTAGTTAATGCTGGAAATATTACAACAGATCTGGAAATAACGGTCAAATATTTCCCGGAAAAACATCCAACCAAAATGACCAAATTTTATAACTTGGTCATTAATAATCACGTGGTATTAACTTTGATTGAGGTTGGCTAAGGTCACCACTTATATGATTGGTTGAAAAATGATGCGATTAAAGGTCAAGATGATGCGATTATAAGGCTCATAAAATTAATCGCACTGCTTTTGACAAGTCAGATTGCTATAGAAATGCCATTGATTTCAAAATGAATATAATGACACCCGAAATCCAATCCCGCAAATAACTATGAGCAATATTATTCATATACTGGCAAAAGGCAATATAATGACACTAAAATAAATAAACTGAAAAACATACAACACTAACGCTTGGGCTCCCTGTGTTTGAAGAAATGAGAAGAATTGATTTACTATGGAAAATCGTGAAATATAGGGCAAGTTTGCTTGGAATGTTTAATGTTTATGAATTTTGTTGCTTTAAATTATTTTATTAATATTGCGTAAAACATGCACTGCAATGCACTGTTGTTTTCCTTTTCATTGAAGCTGTAAGTTTCCTAAATTACCCTGTTTAATTTAGGAAAAAAAAGGTAAAGGAGAGCAAATTAATTTGAAGACCTAACTAAAATTACACAACAATTTGAAGTAAAAAGGCAAATCGCAGAAGTTATGAAGATCGGCAAAAGCAGTTTTATAGCTATTAAAATGGACATTTCAAAACATTTTACGAAGTGATTCAGGTTAAATTTTACATTAAATCAAAGCTCACAACAGAACAGAACAACATACCTACAGGTCATATTTCGGAAATTCATTGTTATATAGTTAAAAACAATCTGAATCTTTCGACTATTTTTGCCGTAATTATCGTTTTGCCATGGCGACACCACAGAATGGCAACACTGACGTAAACGCGAGCCTGCGTTCAGCATTGATCAATTACTAATACTTCATGTTAAATCGATATTTGGAAAATATGGGCGATGGGTTGCTGCATGCATGCATTTCTAGTATATAATAATTGTTGTGGTTATTGT